CCCGAGCCCACAGCTGGATGCACCCCATAAACCAGGGGGTCAGAAAAGTCAGAAGTCATGCTAAATGTTCCCATTTCCTTCCTGCCATAGCTGCTCTTTCTGCAGTGTGCTCATCCCTCCACGTTGCCACTCCATTCTGCCGACTATCTGGTTGCTAGGCAACGGGGCCCTCCGAGAGGGGGGTATTTTTACATCTCTGAGCTTGGTGCTACAAACCGTATGAGTAGGAAGACATTCATTATATAACCTTTCCTCTGAGCCACAAAAGTGTTGGTTTAATATTTCTGTAAAGTCAACATGATCTATTAATGTTAATCAACGTTATCATGAATATCAGAAAACAACATTTAGGCTTAATAGAAGACAAAACAATGTCTGGGAAAGTCTTTCTCTCTTTTTTGATAAAAACATTTGCTGTAAAATGGTTGTGGGATTATCCTCCCTCTTCAATCATTGCTGTTGCTCCTTATGTGCTGCTATCTGCTGTAGGAGAGAAGGGTACAGCAATATATTCATATATATATATATATATATATGTATAATATTTGCGCCTCAATTTTGAATACCATTTCTGTAATCATGTGGGAATTATCTATAAAACAATATGAGCTAACCTCACTGCTTTTAGATATTGTAAAACCTTTGAATGGCCTGCTTTGGTGTTTTTAAATTAAATCACAATGAAAATTAACCTAGTATTTGTTTAAGAATTCCTGTCATATATATTTATATATAAGAGTAATAAAGATGAAATGACCATTTTACTCTTCACATTCTAAACGGTTTCATTCTGGTCCTCTTTTGTTGTTTTTTGCTGCAGCTACCTATCCTGGTGTCCTCGGTCATCAGTCTGTATTTCTTGGAGTTGACGGATATTTTCCAGCCCGTGCATTCTGGTTACAGCTGTAATGACCGCAGCCTCTCGTTGCCTTACGTCCTTCCCAGACTGGAGGTCTGTCCACTGCCTCTGCTCTTCAGTTTGGCCTTCACAGCACCTGCTGCCACTGTAAGTCAAACCTCACCGTTCATCTCTGAATGTTTACATTTGGAAAATGCTCATTTATTTTAAAGCACCGTCTATGTAAGAAAGGTTTAGAAGAAAACAGTCTGAATAAAGCTATTAGCATATTAATTGTAATTATCCAGCTGTTTGGCGTTTTTTTCAGTAAAATTTAATAGAGAGGGCTTTAACAAAGCTAGAACCACTTAGGGTCCAATGGTCCTAAGAGGAGCACCAGTGCAGGCAGGATGGACAGCACACTGAAATATCATCAGTGTGATCCTAAATTGTTCTCATAAAATATGAAAGAAAAGATTGTGAACAAAATATTGAATGGGGTCAAATATAGTATACTTGTAAAGTTGGATACCAAAGATGTTTTTTCTGTCCCAAAATCCAATTCATTGTCTTGAGGGGATGGAGTGATGCTTTTGGATGAGAGTAAGTCTCCCGTTCACAACAGGGCTATGCAGAAACAATCAGTTTTATTTACAGTATATTTAAGTGTATAGAAATTCTTTGGATTTTATTTAATAATCCATGGTCAAAAGCGTTTTTTCTTTAGCCCAAGCAATCTAGTTTCCCTCTATGTAGGTGTTAATTATTATTTGTCCCTTCCTGAAATAGGACAACTCAAAATGTATTTGCCCTGTTTCTTTTGGCCCATTCTATGGTTCCACTTGTTTATGTCTTCTAAACACATCTCACAGTCCCTCCCTGATATTTGGGCTTGTATCAGCAACAGTCCGGTTTTCTGTTGTATTTATTGCATTAAGCAAATTGAGAAGAACTGTCTAAAGCACAGAAAGAACAACCGTGTGTTTCTTCTGTCTCTGTGTGTCTCTAGATTCTGATAGGAGAGGCTATACTGTACTGCTATTTTTCCAGGAGGTCATCGGCCACGCAGACGGAGGCCGACATCAGTGCTGCGGGCTGTAATTTCAACTCCTACATCCGCAGAACTGTACGCTTCATAGGTGCGAGGACCAGTGCTTGGTACCCAGAACTCATTATAAGCATCTGTTTTGCGTGACTGTAAGGACCACATAAATACTCATGGATACAAAACAACAGCATGTTTTATAGAAGTTGTTACTAACTGGCTGTGGTTCTTACACTAATCATGTGTTTGATGTAACATCATAGAATAAACTGAATACAGACAACGTTCAAACAAACTGCTGGAGGAAGTGAGCCTGTTAGACCAGGAGCTAGTAAACTTTAGTACGGATGAAGAGAACTCGTTGAAAAGAAGGAGGCAGTGGGTCCTGATGCCTGTGGAGGTATGGAAGGGTCTTTGAGAGACAGCAGTAGAGTTTTTGAGAAGGCTTTGACTGGGCTACAAAACAGAAGTGAGCATGTGCGAGCAGCAGCCTGGTTTCATGCAAATAGAAAAGTCCTACAAATGTAGTATTTGCATTCAGAATGTTGAAATGCATCAAACATCCGTTGACAAACACGGAGGTTCAGTCAGGACATCGCTGCCCAGATGTTCACCGTTGTTGTCCCGTGCTTTTGTTGTACATAAAAGACGTCACGTGATGGTCGGCGCGTCTTTCTGTTGGGTTCTGATTGTCATGGAAACCACCATACCTGTTGCCATGTGGGTCTGCGTGGTTACGGGTTAGAAAAACGCATCAGAGTGGTGGAGGATTTTCTGAGAGCTGCTGGACTGATGAGGCCTGCATCAGTCTAACCCTGGACTGCATGAAGGATGGGCTTTGAGCCCGGTCCTGTTTTGGGTTAGGGTTAGAGTTATGGACAGGTTAATGGATGGGGTTAGACAGGAATCTGCATGTTCTACCATGTTTGCAGATGACATCGTGAATCGTCATCTGCAGGGAGCAGGTGGAAGAAAATCTAGAAAAATTAACGTATTTCCTGGAAGGAAAGTTAGCGGTAGCAAGTCAGAATGTGTGTGTGAACAAGAGAGACTCTAGTAGAGCAGTGACCGTTTCACTGAGGAAATCTGGAGGTAGCAGAGATGAGGACATCCATGTTCTGCCCTGGAGGAATGAGCACATCAGAGGGTCAGGCCAAAAGTGTTGAGCATAAAGACAGAGAAGCTAGACTGAGATGTTAAGGACTTTTACAAGGGAGTTAATATGTTGTTGGTCAGAATAAGATATGTGTAAGAAAAAGATTTGTGTTTAATTCCACGTGCGTACAGTGTAGTATTTCATATGAAAATGAGCTCTGGAGCACTGTCCAAATGCGTTCTTTCTACAGGCGTCCACATCTTTGGCCTCAGCGTGACGGCACTGATAACCGACATTCTGCAGCTGTCCACCGGTCAGCACACCCCTTTCTGGCTCGATGTGTGCAAGCCCAACCTGACCTACATCAACATGTCCACTTGTGATGAAGCTTACATTCTGGAGGATATCTGCTCTGGACCCGACGCCAGACTCATCAACGATGGGAGGTGAGCTGTCTGGCTGAATAATCAGGTGTGGGCAGGTGTGTCAGCAAACAGCAGGTCAGGGAACACTTGTTGGTGAGTGAAGACATTTGATTCATTCATCATACAGTTAGTTGGGACAAACACACGTTTCTTTCTATACATGGAGACAGACTGCTATGAGATGAAGGCATGAGAGATTCAAGTGAAGGTCCAGGGAAATAACACAGGAATCCAAGGAAACTCAGGACCTAAGGTTTCATTATTATCTCCACAAAAAGAGGCTAGATACTAATAAACAATTAAAAAGGATCCTAATTCTGCTGGGTACTGATACAAAATGTTAAAGTTAACTGGGAAAACCCAAAGCCTAAATCTGATAAGGACTAGAAAACAGGAAGGACACAGACAGGGTAACACGTGGTGAGACAGCACATGTAGAGTGTGATTACTGAGAAAAGAGCAGGTGAAAAGGGGACCTCAGGCGAAGAGCCTAGAGTTAATTACAGGTAGAGTAAGGTAGGGGAATTTGGTGGAAACACAGAAGAACATAGGAAGTGAAGAACCACACAAGAGTTAAATACTGGAAGCTAAGGGTCAGGGAAATTAAACACAGAAGTTAAAAAGCAAAAAGGAAAGTAAAACTCAAGGAAAGTCCTGATAACTGAAACTCTAACCATGGAACAAAGGACTCCAAACGACAAGACAAAACTCACCGCATCAAAATAAACAAAAAAACAATGAAAACTAAACTGGTGTCAATCCAGGGAAATGGAAACAAGCTGAAACCCAAAACCAAAGACCAAAAGCCTAAACAAAACCCAGCTCATGACAAAATATTCCCAATCATTGTTCCTTATTCACTGTTCTTTGTGTAATGAAGAACAAATCAGAACAAAGACATGATGTTCTTTAGTTCTCCAGGACTGATCTTTTAGGGTTAAGGTGAGGAGGAGGGTGGGTGAAAGTCTGCAGAGACCACAGTAGAGGAAACCATGGGGGGGGGGAGAGGGTCTTTCTGGGAGACGGACTCTGAACTGAAGGGAATGGTGGTCAGAAAAGTACAGAGCTGTGACACAGAGGACCTCTGTGGCACATTTGAGAAAATGAGATGGAGCACTTTGCCAGCTTCGTTTGGATCAAATGAGTACAGTCATGCTAGGAAACTGGAAAATTAGGGCAGTCAATGTGCACATTCAAATCACAGAGGACCATTACGGGACAGTCCCCTTCCAGGATGAAGAGAGTAAATGAAAGAGAGAGTCGCCAAATGGTCCTGGTGGGCCAACTGGTCTCTTTGAAACTCAACCCATCTTTGACTCCTGTCTCCGTAGGAAGTCCTTCCCCTCCCAGCATGCAACACTGGCTGCGTTTGCTGCCGTCTACATATCGGTAAGTGGCAGCCGCCCCTAAACACAGGAGGAGTGAACTGGTGGATAGACAGAGGAATAACACCTTTGGAACGGGGTATTTCAGATGTACTTCAACACCATGCTGACTCACTCTGCCAAGCTGCTGAAGCCGCTGCTGGTCTTCTCTTTCGTCATGCTGGCCGTCCTGGTGGGACTGACCCGCATCATCCAGTTCAGAAACCACCCCGTGGACGTCTACTGCGGGTGGGGCCTGGGGGCGGCCATCGCCATCTATCTGGTAACCAGTTAGACTCTGAATAACACGATGGCTTCCTGCAGGCCAGTGGTGCTTATTGACATTTAAACTAAAACACTGTGTGGGGAAACAATTAAAATCATGAACAGTAAGCAATCAAAAGGATTTCTTATCCATTGTTCTGCTGTTGAACAGCTGTCTCTCCTGAAACCTGCAGAACTCTCACTTATGAGCCATGGTTTAAAGCAAAAAAATAAAGGAAAACTAGATATATAAGCAATGACATCCATCATAACCTGTCGTATTATAAAGAAACTATTCATACTGCATGTTGTTATCTTAACAGTGAACACTGTTCAAATAACACTGTCGAACAAAAAAAACTACAATTCTATTTTTTTCCTGGATATTGATAAGAAATCCCCAGGTAAAAAACTTTTGGAAATTCATATTTGCATTCATTATTTTAGTGGCAGCTTGCAACATCCAATGTTGATTCATTTTGAAAAGGGAGAGAAAAATGGCGTCCGCTGGATCATGGAGTGTGGCTTTTCTACCTGTACGGCTGTGATCTGATCATGTCCGTGTTGTGTTTAGGGCGTATACGCGGTAGGAAATTTCCAACCAAGTGAAGATGACTCACGGGGTCCACCTCTCCCCCCCATCCTGAGAGAGCCGCCTCTGTCCTCCCTGGCCAACGTCAGCCACTCTGCCCTTAGCAACAGCCACCAAGGTAAACCCCTCGGACCAACGACTTCCACAAGCCCCCAAAACAAGCAGCTGCATTCATAAATATTTTTTATGTTTATCCGTAGCAACAAAATAAAAGAAGGGTTCCACTGGCCTCGGTTGAATATTGTATGTCCAGTTTCTCTGGCCTCTGAATTAGTCAAACTTAGCCTAACCCAAAATGACTTATGGCTGTAAGAACAAAGTGCAACAGAGTAATGGTCAGTGTAGTTGACCAACAGCTAAATATATTCACTCCAGAAAAGGTAGTTGGACAAAAATTAGTAGTTGGACAGTAGGACAGTAAATGAGAGTGGGGTAAGACATGGTAAGACCATGTGGACCAATCCCAGCTGCTCAAAACTCTCATCAAATCCACCTGCAAATGCTAATAGCTGCGTTTTAAATTCACTTTTCTGAATCTCAGACCTTTTGCTGTGCTCTGATAGGTCATCACACCCTGGCTCCCAGCCACCAGGAGTCTGTCATTGCAAGGACCTCCTCCCACGCCCTGTCCTCTGGCCAATCAGGGCCCATCATGACGCTCAGCGCCTCCTACAGAGAGCCCTCCATGAGCAACCTGAAACGCGCCAGCACTGAGGTGGAGGTGCTGAATCCCGCCAGTCCCTCAGGGAACCGGGACAGCGCCGTGATGTTCAGCAGCAGCACGCTCCCCAGGTAGAGTTTAGTTAGGCCTGAGGGGGGACCAGGCCAGTCCTCTCCATCATATTTAAGCTTCACTGACTGTTGTGTGCATCACTTATTGTTAAAGTGCAACGTGGATTAGTTTACCAGCATGGATGAGCCATGTATCTTTCTTAAAAACATTTCTATCAACCCTCTAATGTGATGGTTTACTTCAACTTGCTAAATACAAACAGGAACTCAGAGCTGCTGAATCCTCTCCTTTGATGTTAATATCATAGTTTATTTTCCTCTTTTGCCAGGTCCCATGGAGCCTCCTCATTGGATGAAGTTCGCAACTCACGACGTCACAACGCCATCCACGCCTCGATGGACTCCACCCGCTCCAAACAGCTGCTCAGCCAGTGGAAGAACAAGAACGACAACCGGAAGCTGTCCCTGCAGATGATGGATGGAATAAGGTCCGTCTCCTTGTCGTCTCCTCAGAGGAACATGGAGGCGCGCTGCAGCTCCGAACAGCCTGCGGCGGGCCCAGAGTCAGAGCCCGGCGGGGGCCACATCTCCAAAAGCCCCGCCCAGGAAGTGGAAATGTGTGCGGGCACCCACATCCCCGCTCAGTACATCAAGCTAGCAGCCGTGGCCAACAACAACCACCTGGCCCTCAACGGGAGCAACGGCATGGTCCCCGGGGCCAGGGTCTCCGTTCAGTCCCGACCCGGGTCCTCGCAGCTGGTTCACATCCCCGAGGAGGAGAACCCGGCGAGCAGGGACCAGGAGAGCGAATCAGAGGAGAGCGTGGTGGACGGAGGCGGCTCGGTGAGGGAGAAGTGGCTCCGCGTGGCCGAGAAGAGCTCGCTGCCCTGCAGGCCGCTCAGCGCCGGGGGGCAGCCCCGCCTCATGCAGGTAGAGGACCATTCATCCATTCATCTATTCATCCATTCATTCATTCATTCATTCATCCATCCATCCATTCATTCATTCAAGCTCGCTGCCCTGTAGGCCGCTCAGCGCCGGGGGGCAGCCGCGCCTCATGCAGGTACGGGTAATTCATCCATTCATCCATTCATTCATTCATTCATTCATCCATTCATCCATTCATTCATTCATTCATTCATTCATGAATGGTCAGAGCCACATCATTTTTGTTGTTTTGTTTATATTTGAGACTTAAGTTTTACATATCTCAGTTTATCTAACTGACAATCTCTTTTTATTAAAGTCTTGAATGATGTCATTACCGATCTTTTAGATTTTCTAGACTAGCGGGTCTGTTAAGGTGTTTATTGGTTCAGTGATTACACAACAAATTCCAATTTCTGCTGTTGTACATCACTTGTACGATATCATGTAGCAAATGTTGCCTGTTTCTCCAAATGTTACGACCTGCATCAGGTTAGCATACGTCTGCCTCCATACTGCTGCCTAAAGCTGTTGGGTGTATCATTCTTACCTGACTGAATCCTTTCCAGGTTATAGCCTTTTCCAAACAGCAGGGCATGCTTCACTCCCCCCGCTCAGAGGACAGCGGGAGTACGGTCAGCTGCTCTGGATCTATCCGGTACCGAGCTCTTACTGACCAAGACACGTCCCCCCCAGCGTCCACCACCGGAGCCGTGGGAGGAAGAGGTCTGTATGAGATGATGTTACCGAAATACAAACCTTATGTTAAACAGAAAATAGTGTTTTTATCATCAGTTTGATAATGTTTGAGCACACTCTCTAGATCAGTGTTTCCCAACCCTGGTCCCTAAGGCACCTCAAGTCTCCCTGCTCCAGCACACCTGGTTCTAATGACTTTAGCAGATTTCTGCATAGCTGAAGAGTCGTTCCATCTATTAGAATCAGGTGTGCTGGAGCAGGGGAACTGGGAAAACGTGCAGGGTGCATGAGGACCAGGGTTGGGAACCCCTGCTCTAGATGGCGCAGTAAGGTTTTGCTGTGCTAACAGGATTGGAGAGAAGTGGCAGCATAGTTCGGGTTGACGCCCACCCCGAGTCCAGACACAACAAACCGGAGGTAAAGCCTCCCAGCACCGACGGCAGCGGCTCCTGGAGGTGGAAACCCCCGGAGCTACGGTCGTCCCTACGGCAGTCCACCTTCACCCTCAACGACCTGAACCGGCAGACGGACAGCTGCGAGGCTCTGAGGGACGCCGGCTCCATGGAGGGGAAACGCAGTGCGATGGGGACGGAGATGGACGGGGGGGGGGGAGGTGTATAACAGCCATCCACACGTGGTTCACCCCCTACACCCCCTACACCCCAACAACCCAAACTATAACCCCAACAACCCAAACTATAACCCCAGCAACCCCAACAACCCCAACAACCCCAACTATAACAACGTTCACCCCAACAACCCCAACAACCCCAATTACCCCAACTATAACCCCAACAACCCCAACAACTACCAGCACCCCGCCTTCCACCCCAACAACCCCAGCAACCCGAACTATAACCCCAACAACCCCGGCAACCCGAACTATAACCCCAACAACCCCAGCAACCCAAGTTATAACAACGTTCACCCCAACAACCCCAGCAACCCCAACTATAACAACGTTAGCAACCCGAACTATACCAACGTTCACCCCAACTTCAACCCAAACAACGTTCACCCCAACTTCAACCCCAGCTCCAGCCTGCCTTTCTCCCCCTTCCCCCCCCCCCCCCAGGCGCTGACCACCATCCGGGTGACCCCCGTGGAGGGAACCACTAGCGACGGGGGGTCGGACTGCCCGTCCTCCGCCTCCTCCAGCCGGGAGTCCACTCTGAGGAAGAAGGGCAGCGCCGGTGACCAGGGCCCCCCCCCCGACCCCCACAGAGCCCCGGGCCCCGGCGAGGACCAGGAGAGGAACAGCCGTTTCCACGACAACCTGCGGAGTTTCCAAGAAAACCCGAACCACCAACAGAGTTACAGACAGATGCAGAGTGTGTTCGCTCACCCTAACCCCCCCCCCCCCCCCCACCCTACCCCGCCCTGTCCTCACCCACAACCCACCCTCCAATCTAGGGCTGGCCTATAAAGAGTGATGCTCTGAATCATCTAAACTGTTTTTGGTGTGATTAAGAAAAGAGAAAATACTGGACAAAATGTTGCAGGGACCAACATTCAAAACTTCAAGGTGGACAAAACTGAGAGAAAGTTTAGCCACATGGCGTTTTGAAGTACAGCCAATACAGGCTGACTCTTACCATGATAACCTGTAGTAAAGGCTTTAAGGAGGGAGTTTGATTAAGTAAGTTTTTATCTGACTCATTTTTATCATAGTTAACCAGACTTTTTAACTTTTCGTAAATCTTTGAGAAACTCCTGTCTAATTACCACATGAGTATGGAGATAATAAGCTAATGACCATTTGAATAAACTCCTAAAGAGAGGCTGCACTCTTACCGGCAGCAGGGACGGACTCAGAGTAACATCAACCATCATTATAGATATATATCAACATTTTCATGCTGCCATTAAGGACACATTACATTTAATCACAGATCACACAGACGTTCCAGCTGTTTCCAGCTGCTGGAGGTGATGACGGTGTTGTTACGGGCCGGATAAGATCAGTATTGTGAAACGTGTATGGTGTGAAAATATGTAGTTAAACAAGCATTCCTTTCTTTTTTCTTTACATACTCCATTTTAATGGTATGAAATACACAACTTTTGTCATTGTGTAATTGCAGCATTATACATGCAGCACAAACAGAACCAGTTAATATTATTATTGTTCTTTGTTGATACCGAACATGCAGAAGATATATTTAACCCATTTTACAAGATGGTAAATGAATCATTATTAAGTATGGTTACAAATTAAAAGTGAAATTTTATATAGTCAGCTGTTTTATAGTGATATCCCCGATAGTTATATTGTATTAAGAAGTGATAATCAGAAGATTACAAATATTTCCATCATTATAAAAATGGTATATATTGATATGTATGGATGTAAATCTGTAACACTCAGGGACTTCCTAGCAGAAGGTTTGTGTTGAAACCTGATGTAACTCTTACTTAGAAGAATCTTCTGAATTGACTGGCACTGGATTAGCAGCAATCTTCAGGAACGCTGTGCTGTCCCTCCTTATCGACTGCAGTAAAAAGCTGAACGTATACTTTAATGCTACTTATAGCCTATAGTTATTATAGTGCTTCTTTAGCCTAGTGGACCATTCAAAAGTGCTTTTACCGCCATACAGAGCACATTTAGTTTTTTACCGTTTTTTTATTTCTAGCATGCTAAACAGTGCTTTGATAATCTGTTGGACGTATGAAATGTCAGAAGCGTTGGTGGGCCCAGAGGGGAAACCTGGTGGTCTCCCTCCGGGGCTGCACACCCCGTTGTACATACGATTAAACTCGTGTTTTAATGACAGTACCAGGGTTAGGGTGACCTGACCCGGGACGTTTTATAGACATGATGTGGGCGTTCAGTTCATCGTGTGTTGCCTGTGGTGCCCCGTCTGTTCTGGGTGTTCTGCTATGCCATCGTATTGGTGGAAATACAAACTCTTATCTTTACAGTCCTGTTATGCGTGTGCAGGTACATGAATCAGGTGTAAAGCTTATTTATTTCAACTTAATATTTATGTTTTGGAATTTTAAATGAATAGTGACAAATTAATAGAAGTATGTTGATTTTATATCGTCAATTAAGCACCAACAGGAATGTGATTATGCTTCTGGGCTACTCATCTAGGTGTTTCGTATCAGGAGAGGGGTGTCTACAGGAACTCTCCTAGAATTTTGTGGATTCTTGAGTTTATATTTTATGAAGTTTAAGCTACTGTAGATTAATGAGTGAGAACATGATGCAGTGTAACTTTACAGTTTCGTTTGCTAGCTAACAGTAAGCATGTGTATTTCTGATCCGTTCTGCCTTGTGTTTCATTGAACAGGACTTTTATTTCAACTTCCAATATTGAAGTTGTTGATATGGTCTGAAAACACTGGTTTGATAAATGAAGTGGGTACTTTGATATTCAGAAAATAGTTTGTATTAAGTTTAAAGTTGGTGTGTTACTACATTTGCCACAACCTTTGCTCTGAAAGCAGCAATATCATTTCTTTTTCAAAGAAGATTTGTTAAGATTTTAAGGTTTTTATAACTCGATGGACTGGTGACCTGTCCAGGCTTCATGAGCCCAAAGGGAATAAGAGGTATGGAAACTGGATGGATGGACGGAAACTTTAGACTAAGATCTGGTTTATATGCAGAGGGACCTGAAATAGCATTGACTCGTCCATTCATCCCCCAGTTTCTATCCAGGTGTTTTTGTAGGGTGGCAGCCAGGCTGTGAACAGCTGGACAGGTTTCCTGTTGCCTAAAGGGCCGAACAGAAAAGAATGAAACACAAAACAACATTCACACTCACAGGCTATCTACGATCACCAGTCAGCCTCACATGCAGGTGTTTGGACTGTGGGAGGAACCCAAAGTATGAAGAGAAACCCACACAGACACGGGAGAACATTTAAACTCCAGCCCGAAGGCCAAGAGTCGGGATTTGAACCGGGAACCCTTTTGCTGACCACATCACCGTGTAGCTCAGTATTGAATTTTTGTTAGTAATAAATGCTTCAAGGGCTGAAAGATTACCTTACTCTAATGTGAAGTTATTATTAAAAAGATATTTCAGCCAAATATGTGCTTTAAAAGTGTATTTCTCTGTTTGATGATCATTTTTTCTGTTTATTTGAAAGCTGGCATCTCTCAGTCAGCATAAATGAACAACTGTGTTGTGACTATTGCTGGAAAACTGAACTGTTTCCCATGACTAATATTACCCAGAAATATGGGTGGAATTATTTGTTATGGGGTATTTTTTTGCCGGTGGATTTGCTTCAGTTCTCTTTAAATGGGAAATCAAAGTGTCACATTCATCTGTAATTCTCAGACATTTCATCATACAGCCTACAGACCTAACAGAGTCTTACGATCTGAACTGAGGACATCCACAATAGAAGTCCTCCCCTTTGATACAGCAAACGTCCAGAATGGGTGCATGCACAGACACACAGAAGGAGAGGACCTCAGATAAGACTCTGTTAGGTCTGTTATGCTGTGAGCAGAACTCCTGCTCAAACAGGATTTTTATGTGAAATATGCCATGAAATAAAGGGATTTTGAAATTCCAAAAGCGCATTTTTAAAATATCAAACAGCAAACTGCTGCTGACTTTGAGCTGAACATGTTACTGGATACATTGAGCTGAAGATACTTTAAGTTCCTTAAACTCATCACAAACCAGTCTATATGCTATAGTAGCATTCATATATTTAGTGAAGTTAACTGTCTTTCTTGTACTAATTAGGGACTAACTCCTGCCATCCCTTTTGTTAATTATGCAGGAATTCACCGTACATTTTAAATTAAAAGGATCCTGCCATCCCGTTAGCACCTTGGTGGTCCAGTGACAGTGTTATTACTTAAATCCTGTAGAATATTACAAACATTGGTCAGCTTTGACAGCACGCAGCAGTTTATTCAGCAGCTTGTGCAAATAGTATATGACACATTACCAAATACTTTAGAAAATAAGCTGGATACTACATTCCTTTTTCACTTTAGTCTGTTTGGTGAGTCGCAGGCCAAATGATAAAATCTTATCTAAAATCTATCAAAAAGAAAGTAAGCTTATACAGACACAAATTCAGTGACCTACAAATAAAACACAGAAGGGCAGAGATTTCTCTGGAATAGATGATGGCTCCCTAACGTACTTAGAAGGCCAGTGTGTGTACGTTATCAGGATGCTAGTGGAGTTGGATTAGTGTGGGAGGAGGCCTCTGATGATGGAAACATGTGGACATGGCTGCCAAAGGTATGAACTGGTTCTGTGGCTTTATCTTCAGGCCCTCACACTGAAATGAGCTCTGACCTGCTGTAGCACATCTATGTGCACATGTTTGGGTGTTTTCTTAAGCAGGAGTTTGTGGGAGAGGTTGTGTTCCACCTGCAGTGATCTCTAAAACAGAACCAGAGTTCCGAAAGCCACAATCTGTCGTTTCTGTAGAAATATAAAGGTTTGATACAAAAATAAACGTTCTTCTTCTTCTTCTTCTTCTTCTTCTTCTCTTTTTTTTTTAATGGCGGTTGGCAAACAACGTTTTGGTGTATTACCGCCACCTTCCAGATGGGAGTATGGATTCAACAATCTGTTAAATTCTTCCTAACACACCAGTTCTTCTTAAAAAACTGAAAACACTCCGAAAAAAAACACATCCCCAGACGACCTTTGAAACAAATCCCCAATATCCAATTTTATTTTATTCCTACCTAACTCCCTACATAACCTCTCTCTTTCTTGATTATATTTATTACATTCCAAAAAAACATGCTGGACTGTTTCCAATTTCCCACAACCACAACACCCTGTACTATTTTTATTAATTATTTTAAGATTACTATTTAACCCTGTGTGTCCAAATCTTATTCTAGATATAATATCTTCTTCTTTTTAAATTCTACTACATTTCCTTACTTCTCCAACCTTTTTCTGAATTCTCTAATAAAATCTAGCATTCCTTCCTTTATCCCACTCAAACTAAACCTTTCTCTACTTCCGCCCTTTAACAGTCAGCTGACTCGGTCTGAGCGAGGATGGGGATTGGTTCAGACGTCGTGACGTCACTGGGCGCAGGCTCCGCCCACTGCCTCACCATAACAGCCCTGTCTGGTCAGACTGGTCCTCATTTCCTCTTCTCTTCTTCTCCCGGAGGAACCAGGACCTTCTCAGGAGGACCCAGGACCCCCACAGCCCGGAGCAGCAGCCATCATGCGGGAGCACAGCGTGCCCAGGGCCGGGCTGGTGCTGCTGAGCGCCGCCGCCTTCGTGTGCGCGCTGGTCGTGAACGCGCTGGCGGGCGCGGGCAAAGGTGCGTGTTTACGGCCGTTTCTACCGTGGTTTCTACCGTGGTTTCTGCCGTTTTGCCGTTGCTCCGGGGACTCTTTAACGGTTTGGAATTCTCTCAGAGCGTTGCCAATGGTTACGTAACGGTTCACATAACTGAAAACTAACTGTAACCGGTTATGTTGGAGAACCAACAGGGAACCGGGCTGAAATAGTTTGGACCAGAACCACGCCCCGGCCTGGGAAGGTTTATGCCTGTACATACATTTTGAAATGGCAAATTAATCTTATCAAAGTGTATGCTGACGGGCTGATCTGAAGGGCTAGGTATGCTGATCTGACACGGGACACGGACACGGGGGGAGAGATGGGTCCCAGCTGGGAGGCCTGGGGGGGGGGGACAGTTCCCCAGAATGAGCCGGTGTCGGGAAACGTTCCCACTCTGCTCATCACCTCCCTCCCACAGAAAACACGTCATAATTTATCGTGTAAAGATAGTTATTTTTAACCTCTGGTTCCCACACAGGCTCGTGTTTTTGTTGCTGTTTGGAGTTGTTGTTGGTAGTTTCTTGGTTTCAGCCTGACTTTCTCCCTCTAAAAAGTTTTTATGAGGGTGTGGCAGATCATGTTACCTAACCACAGGAACCAGTCTCATGTTTTCCGTCATTTCTTCCCTTTCTCTGGTCTGTCCTCAGCTAAGTTATCTTGGAGTAGATTCCTCCAGCCTGACTCTCTGGAATGATCCGTTCTCTCCATATCCTCCGTTATTATTAAACAAAAGGCTTGTTCCCAGAGGTAACTTTAGGGGAAACAGCTGTTCTTGATTAGTGGAAGGAATGAAGGTCCTCCAGTAATGCTTATGCAAAAGCACACAAACAGACATAGAAAAGCACACAAACAGACATAGAAA